TATTAAAGTAAGGGAAATAATTCAAATGGTTTAGGTTCGTTCATAACTAATTTAGATGGTTGTGCTTAACTATTTTCATTTATGGATTATTTCTTTTTTAATTGTATGCATTTGACTTGGTATGATATGCAATTGCTTTAAGATACTAAAGTTAAGAATAATGTAATTGCCCCTGTTTGACATTCATTCTATTTCTCATTTTTTTCTCCTTCTTCATTTTAACCACACATTTTATAAATAAAATAATATTACACATAAACCTAAAAATTCTCTTTACTTTTTAACTACACATTTTTCTATCAATCACTATTCCAAAATTTATTCTTTCTCCAAAATGGGTGTCAAACACAAACATATATTTTTTAAATAGTATCATGCTTTAAATAATGTCAATGAAAATAGAAAAGTGGAGAAATTATAGTTTGTAAGAAAAAACATTTTGATGAAAATGTTACTATAAAGGACGCACGATCATTTGAAGATTCTTTCATAACCAATTATTTACTTTATATAATAGATCAAGTAATTGGATCACTTGAACGAAGGTTCGATCAATTGATATATTTTTTTGACAAGTTAAACGCATTGAATGATGCTGATTTGAAAACATGTGATAATCTTGACATTATTTTAAGACATGTAATTTTTTGCGATCTTTATGACAAATGTTTTCTTCGAGAGTTAAAATTTTTTGCGAAATCTTTTACCAAAAAAACAAAAACAGTTTTTGATATATTAACTTATTTGAAATACCAAAAGAAACAAAGACAGCTTTTGATATATTGGCTTATTTGAAAATATTTGATCTCTTTTCAAATACATTTATTGCTTATAGAGTATTACTGACAATTAATGTTATTGTTGAACCTGCTGATTTTTTTAAAAAAAATTGAAGTTATTAAAATCTTATTTACAATCAACCATGTTATAATATTTTTGATATCTATTGAATAAAATTTGCTAGAAACAAGAGTTTAATTAGTTAGTTTGCTTCTAGAAATGCAAGA